GTACCGAAACTGTCACTACTGAAACATTTGGTAACATTTCGGTGGTGCTATGATTGTTTTGTTGACAAAATGAAATGTTCAATCATTTCTTTCAGTAAAATAAACATAATTAAGGTATAGGGCCATTCAAAGGAAAAGGATTTTTTTCTAAAGTCAAAGTCAGTTAAAAGTCTGAAATGTGTTTTTAACTCATTGAAACTCAACTTTTTGATGTGAACCAATTCGGCAGAATGATCTATATAAAAACAATACATAGCAAAAATGAGCGCATCCATCAGGCTGTGTTTCTTATGCTCTGAGAAAAAAGGTACTAAACTGTACATTTCAGGGTCCATTGCTTGTCACTGGGGTGGTACCCTCAAGGGTACACTTTCAGTATGTTTAGTTAAGAAACATAATTGTGCCATATTCCATTGAAATTGTGTTTTTTGGTTGCATTGGCTCCATACTCCATGTCTTGACTCCAGGCTTTTTATTTTATTTTTATTTTTTTTTACAAAAGAAGTTATAAAAATGTACAAATACGCACCTTTCCTCTGGAAAAGTGAAAACTCATTGTACACTGTTGAACTTGAAGGACATTGTTGTATTTTTGATGGTATGTTTTCATTGTTTGTACCTGTGCAGACATGTACCTGTGCAGAGGGTTTAAAATAGAATTTAAAATGTTTGTTAATATGCAAATTGACAACTAATCAGTCACAACTAATCAGTCACAATTATTTGATAAGGTAATTATTTAGTCAGTTTAATAAATTATTCATAACAGCTCTAATAAATACTACAGTATTTATACAGTACTAGAGTAATGGCATCTCAGTGCGTGTAGCTTCAGAGGGGCATTGATGGCAGTAGTATTGTCTACTCCCTCTGTGGCTCTCACCACTCTAATTTCCAGCCTGAATGGACTACGCTTGCAGGTCCAGCATGGTCAATCCTCCAAAACTGGAGGTCTTGGCATTTTCAACAGTGTGCAGTAGCTAATGCCTGTCTAGATGCTGTATCCTTAAATGCTCTAGGATCCGTGCCACGAGGGTCTACCTTTTGATTGTCGAAGCTGATGGCGGAGAAAAATGAGTCAATTCTGTTTGAAGCCTTTTTTTAACTTTGAGGGGGGATTTCAGGAATGTCTTATGTAAGGAGGATGTATTTAGGTATGCTGCGGCTGAAAAAGAAGAACAGACGAAGGAGGAGTGTGTAAGTGCATATGGGAAGAAGGAGGGAGACAAAAAGCATGGGATTTGAGGGGTGGTTATAGGATGAAAGCCCAAAAAGCTTTGTCATGACTGATGACTCAAGGACGATGGTGCAATCAGAGTATTTACACTCTTTCTATTCATAGCCGTGGCATACAACGTGTTTCTAATCAACGCAACCAAAGCGCATTGCCAACTGTTATTATTCATGCAGTGGTGCTTAATTTGCTGTAGGCATATGTCTGACACTGATCCATAGAGGTTGTCTTAGAATAGCCGTCTATCTGATGCTTACATATGACAGGCGTGACAAGCACAGCCTTTGATATGTCACATTAGTAGAATAACTGACAGTAGAGTCCTTGTAAAGTGACGTGTCCTGAGCTACTGCCTTGTAATTTCTCCATGTCCCCAAAGTCATCATGTCTATTGCGGCGCTTCCAGTGCAGGAAAGAGGCCTGTTTTTCCTTGAATCTCAGCTATGCTATGTGACACCAATAGCTAGCAAATTTTAACACGAAATTTGTCAATAAATAAATAAATAAAAAAATAAATAAAGTTTACACAGTTTTCCCCCTAACCCAATTTATCAAAATCACTGCTTTCTGTTTTTACTTGTATTTTATCTACTGTCCCAACCTTGAAACTGGATTTGTAAATAACATGCTATACATGTTATACCTTGTCAAATGTCACGTAAGCAGTGTAACATATTTAATCTTCATTAGTTTGGTGCCTAAAGTGCATCAAGTTGTTAAGTATTACCAGATAGACTTGTTTATGTGGCTTCCGACACTGCATAATGTACTGTTACAGTAATGCAACTACTGTTTTCAGCTATACAACATACTTGTGTCCGTTGTTGTAGACAACAGTATGTAATACAGTGTCAGAAAAGTCTGTTTGAAGCTACAGTTTGAGACAAATTTGTAATCATTTATGTGTAATGACATTCGTTGATTAGCATTGACTGCTAACGTGCTAAGCCATTTGACAATACTGGAAGGTCAAACAGCTACAGTAACCCTTCAGGCTTACTTTTGTTGATGTGTAATAAGGGAGAGAAGCTGCATTGCTCCCTTCTGAGCTGTTAAAATCAGAAAAAGATTATTTTATTTATTTATTTTGATCGCATGAGCTGCAGAATCTAATTAGCATGCACAACTGTGCCAACTTGTATAGGGTATTAAAATATATTTAAGGAAGTGAATGCCATTTACACTTTAATATATATTAATATTAATATAAAGCCTCCTCAGTGGTTTGAGCACCAGAGAGAGAGAGCTAGAGAGAGAGACAGCGGTAAACAGTCGGAAAAGTATGCTACACCAGCATTCTTCAGTATGTGTGTGTGTATCAAGAAAATGAAAAAAATGCGTATATATCTTGATCTCTAAAGACCGTATCGATCTTCTTTTAATACCCCTCTTTTTCCTGTAGCTTTGTGGCATTAATAACCTATCATTATTCATGTCACCATGTTCTGGTTAAGCAAGTGTCTTAGCAACTGGACGCTGAATCTATTAGACCTTGATGAATATAAGCTGGTCAATACAGCCCATCCTATTAGCAGCACCCACACGTGTGTGGTGTGTGATTGCTTGTGTGTGTGTGTGTGTGTGTGTGTGGGAAAAGCCTCAGAATGCATTCAGTATGTGAGGTGTTGTACTATTTCTCCATCCTATACTTATATCAGTAACATTTTATTTTAAGGAACACACGTTGGGGCTCTATTGTTTACTGTTCTCTTTTTTTTTTTTGGTACTGTTTTCACAGGTCACAGTTTGTGCTAGCTCGACAAAACAAAACTGCAGTATTGCGCTTTTGCTTTTGGGACCGATCACACATACGTTTTTCACAGTGTTCGTTCAAACACTTTTTTTCCCATAAGAAATAATTGCCAGAATGTTGAGAAAAGGAAAATTCAAATCTAACTCGATGATGTCACAAAATATACATCTTGCACTGCCCCATATGTTGTTATTATTACTACACATACAAACTTACTTACTAGACATATATACACACACAAACACACACACACACACACACACACGGACACACACACATATTAGCAACCACTTGGGATAAGATAGCAATGGCCTCCTGGGATTCCATACCAATAGCAACACCTGGGATAACATAGCAAAAGCTTGGCTACACCTTAGCAATCACCAGGAATGTAATCCTTACAGCCTAGCAACATCTCAGCAACCACCTGGGATTCCATAGCAATGGCCTAGCAACATCTCAGCAACCACCTGGGATTTGTTCAGTAAAGCCCAAATTAGACAATTCTGAACTATGTATTCCCCATATTTGGACGTGTGTTATGTGAAATACTAATAATTGCATCATTAGTAATAATGCAAAAAAAAATGCGGACTTTTGAACATGAATTAGCGTGTAAATCCACAGTATCTTATAATTTGATATTGTAATTAGAATTTGGTATTTTACTCTTCTAGCTCGATTCAGATGACTTCTGGAGTTCATTACTTTAGAGTTATAGGGAGTTCAACAGGAGTTTAAAAAGTGTCTAATACTTCAAGAAGTGTTCCATTCTCTGAAGTTGAATTTTAGTCATCACTATTTAGAGGCTAATGTGCATTTTGCATCGCAAATTTATAGCTTTTTGATTCATTAATATGTCAGTCTGTGTTCAATTAAGACCAAAACTGCAATTTACAATATGAAAAACATCTTGAAGTATTGGTGACTCATTAGCTCCAGTCAAATAAAGCAAAAAACCTGACTTTAACTAGAACCATAGGAATCAAATGCTGCCAATTAAATCCTATTACAGTGGGAATTTAGATAATAATTAATGCTCAATAATTTTCATGACAAAGTCTTTAGACTTTATTGTACTGTTTATTATACTTATTATGCATGATTACAACAAACAATGCAATTATTAGTGATTTTCACATAACAGACATCCAGTTATGTACTTAAACATGTTAAATTGGAAACCAAGTGGACCATTTAAAACCAGTTTAGACTTTACTGAAGGTGCTGAAGATGAGGTGCAAACAGAGTCAAAGTTGCAAGTGTTGAAGCACAAATTGACAGTTTTAGCACCGAGATTAAACTACATAAAATGCCTCTAAAAAAAAGTATAAATAAGTGGAACAAACTGTCACTGAATTGTGAAAAACAGAAGAAGCATGTAAATAGGTGTGTATTTTGGGTTTGTGAAATGCACAGAGGTAAGGCTCTCTGTTTTTTGTGTTTTTTAATTGAATCAGCTTTAAACTTAATCTGCATCACAGCTCGCACGACTACGCTTCAGCAGATGTCTTGGGCAGAGGGAAAATGCTTGATATTGATATGCTATGGCAGTCAGTCAAAGTCACTAAAGGTTCTTCTTAAAATAATTCTATTTCATTAAGCATGCAAGAATTCATTAAGCTCTTAGGCTCCTTATATTGACTGAGCAAAGTTGGAGCAGAAAAAGTACTGCTTTTTTTTTTACTAAATAACTCATCCGCACTTTATATGTGAAATAACTTCTCAGACTAAAATAAAGTCTTGGAACAAAAGATTTCTTTGCTGTTGCAACTGAATTGAAAAGTCCTGTATCGCTGTCTCCTTCACTGGTGGTGCTATTGTGAAAGAATTCTGTGTTTCCATGTTAAAGGAGTGTGTTTGCATGGCTTACTTAATACATGAATAATAATAACAATAATAATAATAGCAAAAATGAGTGCTTAATATCCACCTGGAGAGTTGGGGGATGTTTAATGTAGTACTTTGACAAATGACTTAACGCTGTGTGTATATGTGTGATTGTGTTTGTAGGAGAAGGAGAAGCTGTATGTGGAGCTGAAGCACATCCTAGCTCGTCAGCCTGGTCCAGAAGCAGCAGAACAGCTTCAGATCTACCAGCAGACGCTGAGGGAAAAGACCAAACAGCTCAAGGTCCTCTTTGTCTCTCTCTTTCTCTAAAATTCCTTTTTTTCCACCTCTTGGTACTACTGAGGGGCCAGAAGATCCACCCTAGAGTCCATGAGCACCAGCACCACCACAAACCGCCACCCCACACTGAGGACTTTTATCAGACCATAAATCATTTCTCCACTTATCCCTCTCTTCTCTCACCCCCCGCTCCCTCCATCGTGCGAATGAATAATTAGTTACCTCTCTGCCTAATTAAGAGCTCTCGGGCCCGGGCCGCAGGCGGCTAGCACTAATGTCGTCGGGGATTTTTGGTCTCGCCTGTCCTCTCGCCCGCAGCTTTTTGTACGGTTTAGACGGCCTAATTCCTTCGCCATTAAAAAAGTACGAGGCCGGAACGAGGAGGGATGAAATAGTGATGAGACACCCTTCCGCTCTTATGCCTATGGTGAATATGATGTAACCAGAACTGTGTTTTTGGAAGTTAGCCTTTCAGGCTAATCAGAGGCTGGCTGTGGCTTGGCATCTGAACAGGGTTGCCCGATTGCGTCTAGAATTTTCAGCCAAAGAATGTTCAAAATCCACCAAATGTTTAAAAAAAAAAGATCCAAGAAACAGCTGAAGGTCAGCATTTCAAGCACAATACAACATACAACATGACATTGATTATGAACTGCTAGTACAGACAGTCTTGTCTTTGAAAATGTGCAGATAAGTATTAAAAGCTGGACCATGTTAGATTTTCTGTTAAAATTGAAAGGAGCAGCACTGCTGAGTCAGGAGAAAACATGCTGAAAATATAGTGTCCATGCACTGCTTTAAGTCACCCTAGATATTTTGGACTTAAATGTAAAACCATCATTATATTGATGAAGATATGATGACAATAGTAGATAATTCACTTACATCCTCAGAAGACACATATTTTGTCAAGTTTTGACTGGGTTCTCTTTGAATATTCTCACAGTCAGATTCCTCTGCTCAGGGATGGAGCCCAAAGAACAACTGACGCTACAAAATGTTCTTCTGCACGTTGTGTGCAATTACACATTTCCACTAGAGAGGTCTCCAAATCCCCCAAACTAGAGTTTGGTTTTTATTGTTGCTGATAAGAACTAAAAAATGTTATATAACATCATGTGAGAAACGCCTGGGAAAAAAAAATGACAAATAATTAAATAAATTTCTCAGTAATTTTAGTCCCGTCCAAATGTCCCAGTCTGTCAGTCTGTAGAGATTCTGATGCCTTTTACATCCTGCAAAATAAGCCATACAAACAACCCCAGGATATATTGATCCTGTGTAAACTGACATGTCAGAAAAATGTTGCCATAGTCCGTGAAAAAAGGAATTTCTTCATATAGAAGCACTAAAAGAAGCAGAAGTTCTCTGTGGCTCAAATCAGGCCAATATGTGCTGTCCTACCATAACAATTACAGAAAAAGTTAGATTTTATACAGTGACTTTCAGCTGTGAATTCCCAAGCTGATGAAAATGCTAATAACACAGTCAATTTCCATAAGAGAGCAAGATAAACCCCTTTCAGTGAGTTTTGAACATTTCATGGGCTGGAAACTATAGAACCAATCTGTCAACCCTGTACAGATGCTAAACGGATTAGAGTAAACGAAAGAAACAGCTAAATTAAATGTTTTGACATATTTTCTACTTGTTCCTGGAGTGAAGATACTGTGTAAATCAAATAACCACTTCCATCTCTGTCATTAATAACAAAATTTCTTATCCCGTGTGAGTTGGTCATAAACACTACAGACATCCTGTGGTAAAATTACATTACCCCACCTCCACATGGAAAACTTATCCCATCTGAATAGTACTTTTATTAACTTAAATGCACGGTATAGGATAGGACTCAAGATCCCATGCAATGAGAAAGACAAATAACATTGCAAGCAACGAAAGAGGCATGATTATGTCTCATACACATTTTAAAAACTTGTGTACCTGTATAGACTACGCTAGTCATTCCAGTTTCCACTGTTTACAGTTTACAGCCGAAAGATGCAAATGGGCAGGGCAATGGCCTCCTCTCGCCCAAGCACGTTTTCCCTGTTCTTCAATTGAGGAAACGGCCCACTCTGGCAACACTGCATCTGTAATGTTAGGGGGGATTCAAATTATACATGTCTTTTGTTTTCAATGGGACAGACGTATTTTGCAAAAACCGCAAACAGAAGCAAAAAAAGTTAAACCCAAAACAGTCATGTTAAACCTAATTAGATGAAAGGAAGGCAGGTCTATAGTGACAGTTGTAATTAAGTAAGGATTACTGGCTGCAGATGCTGGGTACCTGCAACTGTATGATTTGACAGATTAAAATTATCATGACAAAAAGTTTTTTTTTTTTAAATTTAGCTTATTTTTGCTAGAAGCATTATGCTTGCTAGTTCATAGTGGGTCACTTTCTAGGCTAGTATAAAATCTTTCTTCCTGTACATATCAAAATGATAGATAGCAAGTACAGCTGATGATGCTGTTGTTGCTTATTAACAGAGATAAGCACAACCAGAAGCAGCATGGAAAAAAGACAACGCAGTGCACCTCATGTTTTTCAGCCTTCACAAAAAGCACAATGTGAACCCCACCTTAAGGTTGAAGAAATAGATGAGCAGAACATCTATACAAATGGACAATAGTACATACTAAACTAAACTAAAAATAGTAGCAGCCACCTTGAAGCCTGATTTTTTTCTGTACTACAAACACAATTGAACTCCATTAGCCTTGTAGCTCCAGAGCAAAACTAAAGAAGGAATATTCAGACAAACATGTCTCAGCTAATCCACTTTACTTGAGATAAGGAGACAATAACATTGCTAAACTACTCCTTTAAGATGTCAGCCAAAATGAACTGCTTCTAAATCAGTGTAAAGAAGCAACGTCGACTCACAGCACTGCGGGCAGTCAACTGTGCTTCTAAAAGAAATGACTCATTCTAAGTCTGAAGATAGAGAACACCTCAACTCGGCAGAATCAGAGGCTATTCTTTTACATATCCGCAGTGTGTGGAACTTTCCAGGCCTTTCTCAACACGTCACACAGAGTATTAGCACCCCAAAGGCAGCGGCGCTTCAAGTTTAATTTACTGATAATTCATTACCAAGCATAGGCCTAATGACTTACACACCGCAGGCGTTAACTGACAAAGCTTTAACTAAACAACCCTCTCACAGGATTGAGCGCTAGTGCTAACATTGGGGAAAAAGAAGCCCCATTTAGAAGCTAAAGTGAAAAATCACCTCCATTTCTCTTTGTTTTGATTGAAGTATCACTTTCTCCCCTTGCACATTTGGAAATTAACATTAATTAACATTGCCTTTGAGTGTTTAAGTAATGAATATTTAATTGTGCTCATTACTATTCTGAAAGTGCTCCTGCTTGTTGTTAGATATCTGATGAAAGAGATTCTTAGTAATTGCCCTTTTCCAGCTGAACTAACAATTTAATCGCTATAGATGTGATACAAAATGCTCTTTGTAAGAGTATAACTACATTTGTACAATTGATCTGAACAGAAGTGTAGGCTCTAGTAGGAGATTAATGAGGTTATTCATTGGTTTCCATTTTTCTACTTATATGGTAGGCAAAAGCTCTTACTTCACATGTTTCGATGTAATAAGAATCTAGACACATATACATTTGAAGGCCACTTTATTACAAACACCTGCCTCTTAAGAAATAGAACACGAGAGGGAGTGTGTTATCACGAAATAACAACACGGCTGTGATTTGTTCGCACGCACGAGCTGAAGGCATGACCTCGAGTGTTCTATTGCTTTTATACAACAGTTAAATAAAGTAATAAATAAATAAATTGGGCCGTGAACGTGGTATGTAATATGTTTTAATGTTAGCAATTCATTCCGCCAAATTATGGTTCCTTACGAAGCAGCCTGTTGCTATGTCAGAGTAACGAACTCCGCTCTCTCGCTGCACATTATGCTGTAAGCCTCGCCTTTTGAAGTAACTGTTACGGACTGAACCATAGAACTGCCGCAATATCAAGTTTAGCTCAGTTTTGTCATTTTTTGCTAGATCAGTATTAATGTTGTTTTGTTCCAGCTAGTCTGTAAAGCATCTTACAGCCTATTTTGTTTGGCGAATGGTATTTGGTTCATTTCTGGCTAATTCCAGGTTGTTTAGGTGTTCTTCTGTCACAGCTGCTGACTGAAAAGTCGACTAGTGTACTGTAGTCTTAGTATAGTCTCATCTTCAGAGTCTGACCAAATCGGCTGTCGGTCAAATGTGATCTTAAAAGTATCCATTTTCTGTTTGTGCACAAAGTAAGAAGTAAAAACGTTCAAATGGCTTGTGCGTCTCCTACAGCTGTCAAAGTCGTTGCTTTGCTCTTTGAAAAAAGGTTCTTCTATTGTAACAAGCCTGACAGCGTAACAATAAAAGAACCCTTTTTGGTGCTATATAGAACCCTTTTCATAAAGGTTTTATATAGAACCATCTACTAGAGCACAGTCTCCATCAACCTAAAGAACCCTTTCATGATGCAAGAAATCTATAGTTCTATAGAATCATTTTCTTTACTAAAGAAGCCTTGAAGAACCATCTTTTTCAATAGTGTACACCGCAAATGAGGGTCACCCTCAGTGTAGTCTAAGCTTAAATAAAGGTTGATTGATTGATTGATTGATTTAATAACTGATACTATGTGAGACACTTTTCATGTTATATAACTACCTGGTCCTCAAACTTACCCAGTGTGGAACCCTTTGGGCGTTTCGGTGTAATTTAGTTAGACTGCCATCATGCCTTCAGAGCTTACTATCATGCTCCCCAAAATAATTACCCAGTACTTTGAAGTTTGTACCACACACCCGAGAACTGAAGGGACTGTAAAAGAACATGTTACTCAATTTTGGCCATCCTCTACCCCTTTCATCTGTGGTCAGTTTCTGACCACAGTGCTGCTCTTGACTGGATTTTTGTGTGGTGGACCTAGCAGTGACTCTGATGTGTGCACAAACCCCTGAAACTGACCAATGACGACGGATGGGCTTCAGTCTGTAATTGTACATCTATATAGTGGATCTGTAAGACAGTGAATGAAATGCAAGGTAGATGTTTTTAAATATAGTGGTCAGTAAGTGGAAGTACAAGGTTGGTGTTTCTAATAAAGTGGAAAATGAGTGTTATTGACTGTTTGCAAAATTCTACGAAAGCTCCACCTACCTTTGTTATTGCTGTTACGTCAGCCTGAAGGCATTAGTACCACCTGTACTAACAGACTAAAATGTTCAGTAGGACAGTTTGAAAATAAACTGGCTTTACAATATGTACATGTTTGTGAATTGAGAAAATATGACTGTAGGCTGATTCAAAGTGAACAAAAAGGATTCTGGGAGCCATGTTTACATTAATCAATCCAGGGAAATCTATTAGTCACTCAGAGTTAAAGGGGCAAGTTTTCTTGTTTAATAAGATGAAGATAACAGCAACAGAGATTTTAACTGCCCCTACAGATAAGCTGATATTAAAGCTAACACTGGAGTTAATCAGAGCAATGTTAGATGCTAGTCAGCAAACTTTAATAAAACAACAAAAGGAATGGCATGCATGCAAGCGCATTAATGTTTACCTTCATACACAATATTTTTACACAAATGTGAACACCACAGTTTAATCAATCTGACTTATCAAGTTAGCTGTTAGCATCTTATTTAAGAAAAACTATTTGCTAACAGACCTCAACATTCTTTTGTAATGTTATTAAGTGTTAGACATCATATTAAAATGATTTTTAGCAAGTATTCACCAAGATTAAGCTTACCATGGCGCCAGCATCATTCTGACTGTTAATCGTTTTCTTACTGAGCTGTGAAAACATGGTTTAATCCAAAATGGAATGGGATGAAATAAAAACAGCTCCACCCTCCAGATGATCAGAATAGCATGTGTCAGGAATCATACAATCCTCAGTAATTCATTAAAAAATGTTTCCACCATTTCTTAGTCTAATAATTATGCCCAATGTACTACCACCGCCATTCTTACTGTAGGTTTGTTTTAAGGAGTTTCTGTCAAAGTTTCCCCCTCGAAGGAATGCTCAGAAATGATTATGATTGGCTGAGAGGTATATAAATCATAATTTTGCAAGCCATCAATTGTTTATTAGTGTCAGAATCAGAATACTTTATATTCTATTTCATTTTCATAACATGGAAATGTTTCTTTGGGACTGGCATATAAAGCACTACACAATAAAGGATACAGAAAGTTAGGCTGATCCTAAGTCAGCTGAGTTGTTCTGCAAAGTTTTACACGTGCAATTCAGCATAAGTGCTGCAGCGGGATCACTTTTGTGCTCTGGAGTGAGATTTTTATAGACATGGCGAAATCTGATCTTAGATCAGCAGTCCTGTATGGAGATTCATTATGAGAACATGGCCAGCTGTAGCCTGCAGGCCTAACCCGTATTGAGGCCCATTTATTTACTAGCAGAGAGCCGAGGCTCTTAAATAAACCTGTTAAATGGGACTCGGTGAGTTAGTTCAGCTTTTTTATTTCTTTATTTATTTTTTCTCTTTTATTCGGCAGAAGAAGCACTCAGCTTCCCAGAAACCTCTTCAATTCTGCAGCTGCCTGACAGGCCCCCTTGGCTAGACAGCACATTTGGGGCTTTTTTTTTCTTCTCCCACTCGCTTTGTCTCAATCTTTAATCATTCCTTCTCCTTCTCTCTCAGTATCTTTCATTCTCCCTCTTTCTCTCTCTCTCTCTCTCTCTCTCTCACTCTCTGTCCCTCCATTTCTTTACCCCCTATTTACTCTTGCGCCCTCCTTTTTTCTTACTTTCTCTGCTGTAATCTCCTTTAAAAAGGCACGAGTCTGATAGCCAAAGCCAGTGTTTGATGGTAGGGCTCTGCAAATTGGTCACTCACCCAGGGTGGGTTGTCGGGGGCAGAGACGTCCAGATGATTGACAGTTAAAGCCCGGCCAACGTCTGCTCGAATCAGTGCTGGGAAATCGCCAGGAGATGACCCTGAGAGAATCGCTGTAGTCAGACATGTCAGGCAACAACCATATCTGTTTCAGCCACTTAGCCTTCACACTGGACTTACACATACTGAGAGCTCCCCAAGAATTCAGTTTAACCCTTAAAATCTAGTGTTATTATTGTCTTTTTTCAATTAATTTAATCCGCATTACATAAGTATTTAAATCTAGTTACATAAGGAGCACGATATGTAATGAATTACATGTACATTTGATTTATATTTACGTTCTGTTTCAACAACTTCTTTTTTTATTTAAGTAAACAACCTTTCAGACCTTCACAGTTCTTTAAGCTCTTTTTGCTGATACCATCAGGATATTGGACTTGTAATAAGCTTATGAATATAATCTTAAATTGCAGACTTTCATCTTTAATTTGATAGTTTTTATATCCAAATCATGTGACCAGTGTAGGGATTACAGCCATTTCCATACATAGCCATTTCCATACATAGCCATTTCCATACATAGCCATTTTCATACATCAAAAGTAATTGGACAAAATCAACTGTCACTTTTAAAACTTGGTTGCAAATCCTTTGCAGTCAGTGCCTTCCTGAAGTCTGGAGCCCATAGACACCACCATTTGCTTGATTCCTTCCCTAGTGATGCTCTGCCACACCTTTACTGTAACTGTCTTCAAAAACACGCTTGTTCTTGGGGTTTTACCTTCAGTTTTTCCACCAATCAGTGAAATACATACTCAGTTGGACTGAGGACAGCAGATTGACTTGGTCATTGCAGAACAGTTCATTTCGTTGCCTTGGTGCAGCACGCTTTGGGTCATTATCTATCTGCACTGTGAAGCACCGTCCAATTAATTTTGAAGGATTTGGCTGGATCAGAGCAGGTAATATAGCCCTATACACTTCAGAATGAATCCTGCTCTTTTTGTCAGCAGTCAGATCATCAATGAATATAAGGGGGCCCAGTCCCATTGACAGCCGTGCATGCCCTTGCCACAGCACTACATGAAGTGGTATGCTTTGGATCATGGGTAGTAGTTCCTTCCATTCCCATCTTTCTGGCACAAGTTGATCTTTGTCTCATCAGTCAAGAAGATGTTGTTCCAGAACTGTACGGGCTTTTTTAGATGTTTTTTTGGCAAATTCTGCCCTTCCTGTTTTTGAGGTTTGCCAATGGTTTACATCTTGTGGTAAACACTCTGTATTTACTGTGAATACAGAATACAGGTGAAGTCTCTTGATTGTTGACTTTGACACAGATATGGATACCTCCTGGAGGGTGTCCTTGATCTGGCCAGCTGTTGTGAGGGGGAAGAATTCTTCTGTCATCCACACAGTTGTTTTCTGTTGTCCTCTGGGCCTTTTGGAGTTTCTGAGCTCACCAGTGCATTGCTGTCTCTCTGATGGGTTCATTCTGAGTTTTCAAGGTAGTGATGGCTTGCTATACTGGCAGTGGAAGCTGTTTGGACTTCAAATTTAGAGTTAACATCAACAGTTTAGAAATGTTAATGGCACATTTGAAATCCACTGTAGACCAATTATCTGTGTTCTTGTAAGTGAAATAGAGAGGGAATAATACACTAGAACAGCTGAGCAGCCAAAGGTAATTGTCCAGTTACTTTTGAACCCCTAAAAATAGGATGGGCGCAATATATAAAAATGCTTGTAAGTCGTACACCTTTTACTTGATTTGGATTTCAACTCTACTGTGCCGTGGTAGGCAGCTAAAATAACAGTACATTTATTGATGTCCAAGTATTTATGGACCTGATGGGATGTATTAGCTGCAGTTCTCATCTTGAGTTATTGTCATTGTGAGTGTACTTTTGATGTAATTACATAAGTAATTATATAGTTAGTATATTGAATTACATTCAATTTACATTTTGTAGCAACAGGTTCTAGTCAACACTCCCAATTTGTTTATGTAAACAACCTTAGTTCTTTAAGCTCTTTTTACTGATATGTATAAACTGTCATTCTTGAAAATTCTGATCCAATTCTTCAAATTATGGCAAGCTTTTGTTATTGCTGGTGCTGACTGTGACTTCTAAAAGTTAAGGTCATTTTAGAATGAATATAACCACTACCTGTGAAAGAGCATGCTAGTTAAAATGAATACTTCTGGTTCACATTTTTAAGTGTAACTACAAGGAAAAAACACAGAGAAAGTAGAAGTGTTGATTCTTTTCATGATGTAATTGTTGTGTTGTCTACTTTTTTCAGGCTTTGTCATCAGAACTCAACATGTATGAGTCTCAGACGCAGGAATACAAGTATGAGATTGAGAGGCTAGTCCACGAGCTGCAGAACGTCAAGAAGAAATACCTCGCCCAGAGGCGCAAAGAGCAGGAGTGCAGGTGAGAGAGAGAATGCAAAAGAAAGAACTAGAAGACAGGGTTAAATGACCTCATCTGTAGAATCTGACAAATGATGTTTGATGCATGCTTTGAACAAATTGACTAAAACTGTGTTTCCATGAGTGTTATGATGAATTGAAGCATTTATATGACCCAACAAACATAAATAATTTGTCCAAAATAATGCAGGCTAGTTGTTAACAATATTATCTCAAGGGTCCACCATTGTGTTTAGAGCAGTATACCTCTGGTCAGGTTACGTGTTTTGTTGATTGTCTGAGTGAAAATAAGTTAACACATTCTCTACATGCCACATTTTTGCATGTGACATTTTTTTCCTAGTATGTTAAATTCAGTATATAAACAACCATAATATATTAACCGTGTACATTAAAATGTGCAGAAGTGTGTTCCCTGTAGAGGTTGTGTTTTCACTTAGAAATTTAACAAAACATGTCATGTGACCAGTGTGTCCAAACCTTTGCATACACCTGTATATTGTAATGTATACTGTGTAAAATGTAGGAATTTTATTGCAATATGGAGTTTTGTATAGATCATGCCACTGCAGCAAAATGGCCCCAACACATGCAAACATAATGAGTGCATTGTGATAAAGATTCGAGTGCATCAGTTTCGGAATTTTGAATTTTGGAAATCAATTCTAAGGTTTTACAATAATTTTAATAAAGTTTGCACTAATTTCTGACCAAAATAAAATTCTACTTTCAAATGTAAAATGGAAAAAAGTAGCCATATTGTTTTTACCAATGGAATTGACTTTTAGCTCACTCACTCAATCACTCGCTCACTCACATTTAGTAGGCAGCTTCTCCACAAGAGGGCACTAATAGCACTCAAGTAGCTTTTGCTGCTTGATAAGAGTGGTGCTTAGGATCAGAGACGCTATGTGACCTTGTTATTGTCTGTATTCTACTACTGTTTGAATAGTTCCTCCAGCCTTATTTGTATTTGTATTTACAAAAACAATTTGAAAAAAAGCAAATTAAATTGAATCGTTGAAATAATCAGATTTTATGATACTCTTTGTCCAAAAGTTTGTAGACACCTGCTCATCTTTTCTTCTAAAACCAAGGGTATTAGTAGGGAGTCTTCTTTGCTTCAGTAACAGTCTCTACTCTTGTGGGAAAGCTTTACACTAGATGTTAGAACATTGCTCTGAGGATTTGATTGCATTCAGCGACAAGAGCATTAGCAAGGTTAGTGCCTGGTGTCATAAAACACCTTGAGTTGAATTTTCCCTTTGAAGATTACCCTTACGTTTTTCCTAAGGTTAAGTGTGTTGCACAAAAAACCCTTAGGGTATTACTTTAGGGTTTCTACATGAAATCGTCATCAATCATCAAATTTTCTGACCTTCCCTTAAGTAATCCTTCATGTGTTGAATAAAGTGTTGAATAAAGTTCCTTAACTGCTATTTCCCTTAGGATTATTTAAGGTAAGGAAAAATGCTCCCTTAAAATTATTAGCCAACATGAGAAGTTGAAGAAATGGCTGTGTTTGGGGACGTTTGAGGAGGAGAATATCCCTGTGCACTTTGTTGGTGATAAAGAGAATGCTATGCAGTTAAAATGAGAGAGTACAGATTTGACTGTTGCTTAATGCAAAGCTAAATATTTCACATTGGAAGATGACCTCGACCACTGCTCTATTAGCCAGTAAGTACCTGTTTTTGTCACATTTCCACGACTCCGCCTATCAAAGCTTAATACGTTTTAGTCAATATAGGGCTATGTGCTGAAGGAAATAGTGTCTTCAAAATAAGTTAAATGTACATAAAATATATAATCTAGATACACATTTATTTTTATAATAACACATGCTCAGACCGGGTGTTGTGAGCTGTGTTAGTCTACCTAGCTTGCACAGCTGCAGCCATGAAGTCAAGAAATTATTTTTTTTAGAGAAAAACTGAAAGGTTGTTAGCTGGCATGCAATAATCCAACATGTGTCTTTGTCAAAAGAAAAATTTTCCTTTAAGCTATATTAAAAATGTCCATGAACCAGTTACAGTGGAGTTTTCATCCGAAAATACGTAAGACATGTGAGATATTCTTCATGTTCACATTCTCAGTGTAGGGTGTCCACTGAGAGTCAGAGTCTCTTTGCCAACGGTTACACTAAGCAGATACTTTTTCATCTTGGCAGGAGTAGCTGGTTAATAAGAGGACTACAGTAATACCTCAGTCACCTTTGCTAAGAGAAACGCTCGAGAGGTTTCATGCAACACCCTTAACAAATTTCCTTTGGTAAAGGAAAACCTACCCTTAAGATACTTAAGGGAAAATCTTAAGGTGTTTTTTGCAACTGGGCACAGATATTGATGTTAGATGATTAGTTCTGAATCACTAACTCTACTCCAAATCATCCCAGAGGGGTTGGGTTGGATGGAGTTCCATCACTCCATAAGACGAAGTTCCACTGCTCCACAGCCCAGTGCTGAGGGGCTTTATACCGCTCTTGCTCGACATGGTGATTTTAGGCTCATGTTGCTGCTCTCCAGAACATCTCATTTTATTAGCAGTGCTTTTCTAGGAAAATAAACAAGCTGTGTCGGCAATGGCTGCACCTTAAAGTAGCTAATAGAACTAACTAGAGTTAGTATCCGAATACTTTTGGACATACAGTACACATCATTTCCCAAAGAACTGTAATCAAACCAAATTCTTGTAAGGTCAGATATTAACACCCCCAGCACTGGCTCACCTCCACTGTAGATCCTTCAGTGTATGTATGTGTGTGTGCGCGAGAATGTGTGTTTATACCCATAATAGGTGTGTGCGCCTTACTGTAACTGACCTTCAGCATCGCCTGCCAGCACACATGACTGACGACGTCTGACACGGCCAAAAAATGATGGCTTAAATAAGAGAAGTGAGAGAAAAGGGGGAAAAAAGCAGAAGGGAAAAAAAAAGCCTGCTGGAGCAGTATAGGACTCAATGGGCCGGAGAAATGAAGAGCAGTTGTTGGTCATCACTCGCCGTTGTTTGGCTTTGATTTAATATAAAAAGTGGCACGGAAGATTAACCAGTAGTGCATAGCCAGCTGATCTCCCTTTCAAAGGAAAAATGAATGAACAGGACAGCTATACGTTCCTGTCTTCTGTACCGCGCCTGCAGCAGACCTTCGGCCTAATTCAATTAGGGCTGATGAAGCTGCCTTTGGGTGCTGGAGTGTAGCAGTTAACCTGCGGAACTCTATTTTCAAGTGCTGTGAAGTTAGCATCTTGTGGTTTTCTTTACTATTGATTTTTATCTAGACGCTCTGTTGGCCACTGCTGTGTCTTGTTTTAAGAGCCTGTAAGTGGATCAAGCTATTATTCCTTTCCTCTCAAACATACACTACCTTTGCAGATATGTGTGTAAAATGATGCTAATATGCTAGTAGGTTTCAAATGACTTTAAGAAGCTTGAAAAGATTAAGAATGTAGAGTGGTCTTTAAATTTGACATAGTATTGTACTTTAAAAACAGATCTAGAAAACAGTTGATATACACACTTAAGGCCACACATGAATTGATACTAAAAACAAAATTGTTACTAACCAACAACATTGCTTGGTGGAAGAATTGATTTTTGTGTTTTATTAGTAGTAAATTAAATAATTTTTCCAACATTGATATATACGATATGGCCAAAAGTATGTGGACACGTCTTCTGATTACTGTGTTCAGATGTATTAGTTACACCCATTGCTAACAGGTATATAAAATCAAGCACATAGCCAAAGACAAACACTGGGAGTAGAATGGATTGTGCTGAAGAGCTCAGTGACTTCAAATGTGGCACTGTCATAGGTTGCCACCTTTACCACAAGTCAGTTTGTGAGATCCCCTGCTAGATCTGCCTTGGTCAACTGTAAGTCCTATTATTACAAAATGGAAGTGTCTAGGAACAACAACAGCTTAGCCACAAACTCACACCATTGCTGAAGGGTATAGCTCCTAAAAATCGCCTATCCTCTGTTGCATCACTCACTGCAGAGCTCCAAGCTGCCTCTGGAAACAACTGCACAAAAAATGTGAGTGGGGAGCTTCAGTAAATGGGTTATGGTGAAGCAGTTTCGCACAAACCCTAAGATGACTACGCACAATGCAAAACGTTGGCTAGAGTGGTGTAAAGCAGGCCACCACTGGACTCTGGAGCAGTGGAAACATGTTCTACAGGGTGATAAATCATGCTTCACCATCTGGTAGTCTGATGGACAAGTTTGGGTTTGGAAGATGCCAGGAGAACACTACCTATTCGAATGCATAGTGGCAACAGTAAAGTTTGGCAGAGGAAGAATAATGGATCATCCATCCAAGACATTTTAGACAATTATATGCTTCAAACTTTATGGCAACCGTTTAGGAAAGGCCCTTTCTTGTTTCAGCATGACTGCCCCTGTGCACAAAGTGAGGTCCATTCCACCACTGAACACCTTTGGGATATACTGGAATGTAGATTGTGGGCCAGGCCTTCTCATCCATCAGCGACTGACCTCACAAATGCTGTTTTGACTAAATGGGCATAAATTCCCACAGACACACTCCAAAATCTTGTGGGAAGCCTTCAGAAAAGGGTGATGGCTATTAAAGGGGTGGCCAACTCCATATTAATGCCCATTGTTGATGTGCCAAGAAGCTCATATGGTAGTGATGGTCAAGTGTCCACATACTTTTGGCTCTATATTATATATATGTTAGGCATTTTGCTTTGTGTAATGTCTAATTTATATTAGAATTTATTAATTTACTGATCAAAATAACATAATTACCCAAACTCTTCAATGGAAGTACATATATATACGTATAAAGCCCACCCACATGAATGCAGTAAACTCTCTCTCTCTGTACTTATGGCTCTCTGATTACTACAAACTGCTCCTGAATGGACAGTTGGCACGCTCACAGTATGGGTGCAGATTGCTTGGCTCTGATTGGCTAGTCATCGCCATCTGGTGCAGTAGTGTGACTGTGCTGTTTCCTGTAGCTTGGT